TTCTTTCTTTCTTCCTTCCTTCCTTCCTTCCTTCCTTCCTTCCTTCCTTCCTTCCTTCCTTCCTTCCTTTCGTCAAAATTGAAACAAGTGTAATTTGAAAACCATTGCACTGATTTCTATTACATTTAGTACACTTTACTCTTTAAAAAAAAAAAACCAGCTTTCCTATACATGTTGTCTTACGGAAAGGCGAAAAAGAAGGAAAAATATTATGGACAATTTAAAAGTACATTTTAAAGTTATTACTTTCTTTGGATTTTGGCACACTTTCTCAGATGTACTGTTCTGAATTCCTTAAAAATCTCATTCCATCCTGATTAAAAAACAATAAGTGATAGATGTTCATTTGTATTTTTCCCAAGTTAGATAGAGGAAGGGTGAAGTTCTTCCCTGAATAACACTCAAGAATTTTGATTGGGTCCAAGAGAAACATAAGGCAAAGTAGGCTATTTCCCAGGCTGAGATTAGACTTTCAGAGGATTAGACTGATCATTGCACAATTCTGACTTTATATTTCAAAGAACTTTTCTAAGTATTTCCAATAAGTATCCTTATATACCCTCTTTTAGTCATTAAGTAGAAGGTTTACAACTTGAATAAACATGGATAAAACACAGCTGTGCATCTGTGTATTCATGTTTATGTAGATCCAGTTCAAAACACTGCTATACTGATGGTGCAGCTACTGTAATCTGAGAGCCAGTTTGGGGTAATGGAAAAATGGCTGGACAAAAAACTGGGAGGCTGAATTCTAGGGCTCCCTTAGGCACAGAAACCAGTTGGGTGCCTTTGGGCCAGTCACTCTCTCTCAGCCCAACCTACCTCACAGCGTTGTTGTTGTGAGGGAAATAGGAGGAGGGAGTATGGTGTACTCACCATCTTGAGTTGCACAAAATAAAGGCAGCATATAAATCTAATGAATAAGTATCTCCAGAAGAGACCACCATAGAAGCAGAAATTATAAAAATCAAATGATAGACTGTGCTGGAAACAGGAATAATACCCCAGACCCACAGAAAGTCAGGACAGAGGCAGCTGATAAAGTCTCAGTGGAGACATGCCTCCAAGTATCACCAAATCTATGGACTTCCAGCCCACATTGCTGGTGCTGCTCTCCTTTAGTTCAATCCAGCAGCAGTGGGTACGGTCGAGGTTGAGACCTCTTTGGGTGGTGGATGAGAAAGGCAAATCTCTAGGAATTGTGGTTTCAAGCAGTGATGATTATACACGGAAATACCAGAACTTCCACAAGAATCTTGTTAGCCCTAAAAGGTAGACCAGACCCAAGAAACAGAAACATTCTGCAATGCTTATCTCCTCATTACCTTGGTAACAGATCTTCCCTCTCTCTGTCAAGGTCATCCTCTTTATTCTTGACAGACTGAAGGTCCGTGAGAATCTCCACACAGGAAAAGGCCAATTTTAGCTGAATCCAACCTCCTATTTAGGTCAAGAATTCAAATTCAACCCCCCCCCCGCAACAGATTGAGGAGCTCCAAATTAGCTGTATTTTCAAAATCAATCCCACATCTTCCACACTGCAGTAATTCTGCATGTCGTCTGATCTTTTTTTTTCTAATTTGTTGACCTGTTGATGGCCAAAATATCCGACACACTATTTGAGTTCATTTGAAGTCATTTGAGGTCATACCTTTGAGTTCATTTAGTGAAAATAATCATTAACTTTTCAAGCAAATGACTGATAGTGTGGGTTATTTGTCTGATATTCTATGGCACCCGAGAGAAGTTTTCCTGTGGGAGGTCTTATTTTTAAACCAAGGAAATTACATGGTTCCTCCCAAGGCATGCTGACCTTAGTCCTCTTAACTTTGCATGTATATTGCATTAACAGAAAGTGGGTGTGAACCTACAACTAGGATCTGTTAAGAGGTTATTTACAAGAAATGAGGGAAAGAAAAAGAACATTATGCTCTCTTCAGGATAACTTCATTATGGGAAAAACAAAATGGAGGGCTGCTTATTGTCATCATTTGCCCCCCTCCCCAAATAACTTCAATAAAATGAAGCCAAAATGTTTGCAGTTGCTTTTTAATACATTAACTCAGCCCAGAAATAATGATTTCTTTCACATTTGAACTTAGTTTCTGTATCTTTTTTTTTTAAAAAAAAAGACTAATCAGATGCATGTCCTCACAAAGGGAGTACTCTAATGGGACTTCTTCCAAGTAAGTACATAAACTAGAAGATTTATTTTACTAAGCATTCCTTGACACTTTCCTATATTTGTACCACCTCAGGATGGGAAGAATCCAAAGAGGGATAAATCCAAAGCATCTGGAGCTTGAGAGGGAAGAGGAAGAAATCCAACTAGGTAATTGAAAACCTGCAAAAATGTGTCATGTGTGTTCATAGCATCCCATGAGATGCCATCAAGACCCAGCAATAAGGGTTTGTGCTAGTGATGATACCCACGTGCTATGGGCACATACAAAAACTGGGAGTCTCTGTGGTCATTGGATGGAAAAAGCTACCTAGCTTATTCCCCCAGATAAAAACAAATAGCATTTATCAGCTTCAGCATTTGCATAGCAGGTTGAGGGCCAAGATGCAGAAAACTCCAGTTGATTTGGGTAGTTCAGATATATTCTATATTGGGCCAAGCCATCAGGCATTTTGAAGGCTTAAATGTGTGTCTGAAGCACTCAAAATATTTAAAATACCCATTTTGTCCCTCAAGCACCCCCTAGGCTTTCTAAATGCAAAAAAGGACACACGTTTTAGGCTGACCCACTCCAGGATAAGGTTTGGGAGCCCTATTGGCCTTGGGGCTCCATGTTTTAAGCACCTTTTGATAGATTTGGAGGGTTAGGCTTTCAAAAAAGTTTAAGTCGTGTTTAGGGAAAAGTGCTTGAAACTGGGTTGGGAAAAGTACTTAAGGAAAAGTGAACTTTGGGAAACATGTGCTCACAGATGCATGCAGTCGGGGGGTGGGGGTGGAAAAATAGGTTGCAAAATTGTGACCTATTGGTTGAATATTGGGTGGATATAAATCTGAAATGGACAGGTTCTCCCATCCCTAATCCTGAGTGATTCCATGTCACGATTCATAGGAAAACAGCAGTTTCTCCCCCCTTCCCCTGTCCATTGATTCTAACAATGTGCTGCCCTCTAGTAGTTATCCACCGGTTTGCAGCCCAGATATTGTCTCAGACTTGCTACTAAAATCTTCCACTGGCATCTGGGTGGGAATATCATGTATTGGACATTAACATCATAATGTCATTGGCTAATATAATTGAAACATAGGCACATACTTTTAGGATAAATCCAATTTCAGCTAGCTTCACCTGGAACAATAATTCCTGGGCAAGACATTTTTTTTTCTTTTTCTTTCTATAAATAACTTACTAGCAACGTGCATGCTTCTTTTAAAATGATATGGAAATGTCGTTCAGGATGTTTTAGTTAAGGGCAGATACAGGCAGAACCACAGATGCAGCCAGACAGAGATGGGTCTTTTGCTTTTAAGAATACAGCTATCGGTTCTTGTAAATTCAACTGTACTTTTACAGTTGCTGCTAACAAGAAACATGACTTTAACAGCTACATGACAGCAACATGGTCCTTGCTGAAATAGAAATAGGAATACCAGTTAAATTTGGCCCATGAAAATGGAAAGAATTTCAAAGGGTTTGCTAAAAAATAGTTTCCCAAATGCTTGGTTTTCTTCAATAACGTGAACATTTAAATATAAAACAAGAATAAATAAATAAATAAATAAATAAATAAATAAAAATATATAAATATAGAATAAGTTCTTCCCTAAAATCAGAATCTATACAATCCTGGAATAATAAATTAATCCACACTTCAGTTTAGTTCTACCCTTATTTTTTATGCTTTTCCTAAAATCTCCCAAGATGGTAAAGGCGGTTGCTAAGCATTCTGGTCACTTTCCCCCCCCCCCCCCCTTGAACAAAAATAAAGACAGGAAGCGTAAGAAATGGACATTAAACAATCTCATCTTGATGAGATGTAGACAAATTGAAATTTATTTTAACTAAAAGGGGAAAGGGTATATGGAAGATCTTGGAAGAAATGGAAAAAAGTGCTGAGTCTGCATGAGACAGAGAGACACCAAGAAGATTCAAGAGAGACATTTACACTAGTTGGCTTGAAGTTTTGCTAAAATGAAATCTGGAAATGATGCAATGGCTTTTGTTCCATATTTCAGAGCGGCTTCCCCTTACAAGACAGGCAGCAACAAAATGTTTCATAAGAAGTAGCACAAAGGGAGAATAAAGCCATTGATCTGTTTTAAGAGAAATGGGAGATGGACAAGGCTTCACATAAAAAATAAAGCTTATAGAAGGAAAAGGAGGAAAAGGATGTGTGAAAGAAGAACAGCTATCTGAAATAATGAAATCAAATTATTTGATTTAAGAAGGCTTTGAAGACTCTATCGACTAATCTGAAGACAGCTTCATCCCCACGTCTTGCTTTAAAGAGACTGGAAAGATTCAGAACCTAAAGATCAAAGTACTACAGACTTATTTTTGTTGACTGTTAATCAGCTTAGGTGTGAAGAAATCACCAATCATTTGTTCACAAAAAATATCTCCCGCTGAGGTCACAGTCAAATTCCCTGTGCATGTTATTGTTCAGTAACTTTGATGTCTAATGCACTGTAGTGGTAAACATAACAGTTATAAACAAGATAATTGTATTTTAGGGTGGTCAATGTGATTTTCAACAGTGTGGCATAAAGATAAAATGTTTAATTCTTCAACCCATTATGAATATCCTCAGATTGTCAGGTAAAGAAATAAAATGAGTAAGGTTAATGTAAACCCTTAAAAATCCAAAATGCAGCTCTTTAGAATTAAAAGATTTTAATTTGCTTCCAAAAGACACCACAATGGAGAATATGTGGACGTTTCAAGGAAGAGTCAGTGAAAGATGCCAGGGCTGCAGATAAATCTCTGTTCTTATGGAAGCCAAGATGACCTCCACAAGAAGTGGAACTCAAAGGAGGCATCACTTATACATCCCAAATTATGGGAGGACCCATATAAGTCCTCTGACCTCATCCTCTTAGGTTTTCCACCATATGAGATCCAGTTGTCACCAAAATTTGTTACTGTGTTAGAGAAATGACTTCTGGGTAATGCATGTCTGATAATGAGTATCTGCTGATGTTTGTACCTTTCATTACAGGGTCTATTTATTCCAGGGGAAAGTATGTCAAACATTCAGGATAATACTGTGTTCCCAAAGCCAGCTGTGACATTCTCAGGAGAACTTGCCAGATCTGAATACGCTCCTCTTACTTGTTCAACTTTCTCAGGCCATCTGCAGTACAAGCCAGGAAAATCCTAATTTAAAAAAAAAGTTGGAAAAACTTACTATGATACAAACATATCCTCTCGCTGGGATAATTGATCATGAGCATTGTGTTCTAACTCAGGATGAAAACAAAAACTAACAGTGGCTTGTGCCTTACTGGATCCGTAAAAACAGGAAAGGTACTACTCCTGTCCAAAATAAAAAGATTCCACTCAACCAATTTAAAAGTAAGCAGGAAAACTACTCCAAATAAGCCCCATGGCCATTGGTTAACTTAAAAATAAGTAAACACACACGCACACTTAAATTAGAAATGTGAAAATTCCCAGTTCATTTCTCACCATAGCCACAAACTCCAGCTTAATCCACATTTAAGTCTTTGAGTAGGGCAACCATATCTGTTCCTCCCATCTAGTGATCCTCCAGATATGGTGGCCATAACTGAGGAAATATTGCCTAATGCAGTGTTTCTCAACCTCAGCCACTTTAAGATGTGTGGACTTCAGCTCCCAGAATTCCCCAGCCAGCATGGGAACTGGAGTCCACATCTTAAAGTGGCTAAGGTTGAGAAACACTGGCCTAGTCAATGCTTTGAATCCATGCATTGTATTTTATATAAATGCTAATAAATATTATTACACTCATAATTACCTTTTGATCAGAGATGTGGGCACTAGTTATCACTAGTTTTTATGGTTTCTATCTTTGTGAGCTCCATCATACAACTAGATGAATAGTTCTGAAAATTAAAGAACCTTAAATTGCCTTCTAGGCAATTTATTTATTTCATTTGAAGCATATTTATACAGATGATTAAAAGAGAACATTGAAGGCACCTTGGAACACATTGCTATAGAAAATGAAAACTTGACTTCAATAAAGCAATTTAAAAGACCTACTCAATAGAAGGTGAGCCAGTCTGGCGTAGAGATTAAGGCACCAGGCTAGAAACTGGAAGACTGTGAGTTCTTAGTCCTGCCTTAGGCACAAAGCCAGCCAGGTGACCTTGGGCCAGTCACTCTCTTCCAGACCTAGGAAGGAGGCAATGGCAAACCACTTCTGAAATCTTGCCAAGAAAATTGCAGGGACTTGTTCAGGCAGTTGCCAGGAGTCAACACTGACTTGAAGGCATACACACAGACAAAAAATAGAAACCATTAAAATTGGTGATAAGCACCAACACTCATGGAAAAGCTTGTACGCTG